CATTTCTAAAAGAAATAAGACAAAGTCTAAATTTTAAAAATAAAATAAAAAAAATGAAAATATACGTTTCATATTTCGAAATAAAAAAAAAAAAAAGTAAAAATAATTTGGCTTATAGTTTTATCATGCAGAACCAACTCGAGAAAGGATTTGTATGTGCTGCCCCAGTCTTGTAAAAACATTCTTACAATTCGAACTTTAAGCATAGGTCTATTAGACCTATTAACTTGTTTGATTAAGCCAAATCCTTGGTTTATTGTTTTGAATGAAAGACTGATTAAGGATTTTTTTTTATCCGTAGGATGTTGAAAGTGACGAAGACGCTGCTCAATATTTTGAGATTTATAATTTACAATTGGTAGAGTAGATACAATAGCTGTTAATATTTTTACAAAAAAATCTCAATATACGAAAATCGGATTACATCTAGAGGTACATATCAGAACAGATTTTCCATACAATTAGATCAGATTTTTGTAAAAAGATAAGAAGGAATTTTCAATCTACACAAACTTTAAACATTAGATGTATTTACATAAATCAATAACAACTACTCTGACTCTCTGATCTACTGGATTTCCCTTTTTTGCCTCTACGGCTGAGGGGGAAGTTTGAACTACCTGATACTCCAGAATGATATAGACAACTAAACCCTTCAATTTACGAAAATCGGATCACATATAGAGGGACAAATCAGAACATATTTTCCATACAATTAGATAAGATTTTTTTTAAAAAGATAAAGAAGGAATTTTCAATCTACACAAACTTTAAACATTAGATGTATTTATGTAAATCAATAACTATATAGACAACTAAACCCTTCAATTTAGGCTTGACATCTGCTTTATTTATGGGTGACGTAAAATAAAAATTTAATTTTGACCGATCAAATCTTTATTTACAGGCTTGACATTAAAACCGATTTTATGGGATTTTTTTGACTAAACGGATGTTATGGGATAAAATAAATAAATAAAATAATTAAATAAAATATTTGATGGAAATAAAATGCATTAATTACCTTTAACTTTTTTGTCTATTATTTTGAGTAAATAGAATGACTTTTTATATAAGTATAAATTAATAAACTCCACCCGGGAGACCAACAGAACCCAAAAAATAGAAAAATACAACACGTACTTATAATAAAAAAAAGAATAAGACGTACAAAAAAAAAAGAATAAGACCTCGCCTTATGGTTTACCTAAATTTGCAAGTTGCCTAAGATACAAATTAGGTATAATTACCGAAACTAGAAATGATTTCACAATAAGTAAACTGGGCTGTTACGTAAGTCTTCTACAACTTATAAAAAGCCCAATTATCATATTGGGTATAAATGGGCTTGATCTACTATTCTTTTGTTCCGTTTAGTGGAATTGATTGTGTAGCCTAAACGTGTATCTTTCATCAGTACATGACTTGTTCGATTCATATTAGATTCATAAATAGTACACCGGTTTATTTCGAATAATATTATTGATATAGTCATTTTATCATGTCAATAGTGGGCTCGGTTATTTAGTAAGGTGGAAATTGTGGGTTATTTTGGTTAGGTGGAGATTGTCGGCGCATGGGGTAGCTCAGTTTCATCAACCTGAATAAGGAAAGAATTATTAGAATGATCTAGCTCGAGGTAAGGTCCTTATATAGTGATAACTAGTTGTAGAAGATTGTAATAATCGACCTTGGATGAGCATGGGAATTGTGGTTCAAGGAGAATCCTCATAAGTAGGAGATCCTAGTGATTAAGAAAGGAGATCGATTTACATCTTGGAAAGATAGTCGGGATATGGTGGAATTCACTTAAGAATGTAAATGAGTCGAGCCGAGGTCGAGCTCAAGGTGCTCGAGTCCTTAACGAGCCGAGTCCGACTCGACTCGTTAAGTAAACGAGCTAGAAATCGAGTTGGAGCTCAGCTCGTTTATCAATATTAACGAGTTAAATTCGAGTCTTTATTAGCCGATCTCGAGCTTTAACTAACCGAACCATAGAAAATTATATAAAAATTATTTTTTTGAGCAGATCCTGGCTCGTTAATGAAACGAGTTTTATGCGAGCTCCAGCTCAACTTGTTTATCAAACGAGCCGAGCCGAACTAAAGCCTTAACGAACTCGTCAAACTCACGAATGGCTCGTTTCGTTTAATAGCTCTAGATTCACTTATATACTGCTAGTATGAATCCCGTGTAATGTACGGGTAAACAATGTTAAGTAATATTTATAAATCAAAAAATAGAGTTAATCTACAGCACAATTAACCTATATTAATTTATTGGAAAAATGTTACATAAAATATAACTTCTGCAAGAATAATAAAACATGCATATTTAAAATATTAAAAGCACTTAAAATGTTATATACCATAAGTAAAAATGTCTAAAATGTTCTATACTATTCTTAAAAGAGACTATCACATAAAATTTCTAAAATATTATTAAAAATAGGTCCAGAAACACCTAAATTGTTCTATGTTATTGTTTATATACACGTTGTGGAATATCACTTCCAATAAATTTATAAATCAAAATTCTATACATTTATAATTGAAAACTTCTCTGAAGCACAATATCCTTTATAGGCAAATAGATATTAAAAAAGTTTTCTAAAGCATTGATCTATGAAATTTATAAATCAAATTTCTGTACATTTATAATTGAAAATTTCTCTAAACCAGTAGATATTTTCTGATGAAAAGTTTTCATAAACATACAAGATCTACAAGAGTATTATTTCATACTCAAATTCAAATATCTATTCAAATATCTAATCGGCTGGTGATATTCGGTAGATAATTGTATATTCAAATTGAAGTATGGTATATTCTTAATTATTATAAAACAGTTAATATCTCATACTCAATTTAAAATATCTAAATTGCCTCCTCTCCATCTCCAGCATTCCTTTCTAGGCGGTCGCCGGCGCGTGAGGGTTGGGACCAGGGTTGCTTGCGGGATGCCCGAAGAGGCGGCACTTTCCCATCCGTTGGTTGTCCTAGGGTGTCTGTAGGACATGGCGGAATCTTAGGTGCCGACCTAGTGGTGGCAGGTTGGGCAGGTTTCAGGTCTTTTGGTCATGTTCTAGTTAGCCGGTAGGGGAGTTTTTAATTTTGTGTTTGTGCCTGGAGTTTGGTCTGCTTGAGTGGTTGCCTTGGGTGTTGGTGCGCTTGGGGCTTTTTTGGTGTGGCTGGTTAGCTACTTGGGAGGGATTCTCCACTTGTGAGAACTTTTGTTTTCTACTGTAGGGAGTTTTTTGGTTGGTTATAAGCTACCGGTGGCGCAGTCCTCCCAACTAGATTCAACTGGGTAGCTGATTTATTCTGTTATTTAGCTGGTTTCTAGTCTGTAATTACGAGTTTTATTAATAGTCTATCGTTCTAAAAAAAAACGTTGGAGAGATAAATATGCTTAAATTTAAATCATGTTTGACGAGTGTACATATTCAAATTTAAATCATAAATATTTTGCATATATTCTTGTTATGAAGATAAAATAATATCCTACATCTTTGCGATATTTTCTTGTATTTAAATTTAAATCATGATTGACATGCGAAAAATCATCTTATAAAGAAACGTATGAATGTTTTAGAGGATTTTGTGAGATGATCATCTCCAAAATAATGGAAGGAGTTTTTATCTAATATGTTTTGAAATGAAAATTTTGAATCCCACAAATTTATGGATTAACATTGTTGGGGAATTTTATCCCTTTAAATCGATGTTTGAAATAAGGATTGAGGATTTATTCATAATTTCATATAGCATTTGGAAATTTTTAAATTCAAATTATTTTGAAATTTCCATATTCAGTAAGCAATATTTTTTGTTGCAGAAAATCCATATTATTTCTAGTAAATACAAATCTTATTTACATAGATACATTTCATGTAAATTTGCAGCACCAGAATTAGATTCTCCAATTGACTAATAACAAAATTAAAGAAGTGAGCAAATAGTGTGGATTTGAAAATGAAATGCAATCAACTAGGAACCAAATATAAAATGAACCTTTAGGTAAAATAAAGAGCTTGAATTAGTTGGCCCTTCTCAATCTTTCTCACTCACTCATTTTATTTAAAAATAAAAATAAAAATTACCTAATCCATGTGGGCTCCTTCATCAGATCTTAAGATTCCTCTCTCCATTATTTTGTTTGTGGAAGGGAGTGTTTTTTGTCAAGCACTTTGGATAAACATTACAACACACTTCATTTTCATGAGTCTCATCCAACAAACACATGTCACAACATAGTTCATTGGCATTTGATAAAGTCTATTATAGGCTGAAAAAACCAAAGTAATTTAATAGCCACAAGCATATTGATTAAAATTTCCTAAAATTCCAAAATGTGAAGGAATTGCAAAAAATAAAAAAGAAAAAAAAAATCAACAGTGGTTGATTTGACCCCCAACAAAGTATTGAAGCCAACTTTAAGGGACATATTCAAATATTATATCTTGATTGAACTTTGAGGATGCAAATTCTTTTCTTTCTCTGCCTGTGAAACCATTCCTTACAGATTAAAACTTGATCAATGAAGTGTAGGCTATGTATGTTTACTACAATTAATTATTTATTACATGTTATATGGAGCCAACCTAACAAATGTGAAATTTTGCAAAAATAAAAATTAAAAAACTCTATATGGTAGATCCTGGACTATTCCTAGCTGATTGATTGCTTCATTAATTAAACTATTAAAGTGTCACATTAAATTAGAGAATGGAATCTTACTAAAAAATATTACCACTAAACATAATAACAAATCTATCCCCACCTAAATATCTCTAGAAACACTGTTTCTACATTACCCTTTTGGATTATAATAATACTCCTATCAATATACTAATAATAATAGAGAATTAAGAGTTAAATTTTGATTAGTATTGAGTGGACCGTGACATCCTTTCCACATAAGCAATTGGTTTGGCTCTCGAGCCTTAATTCTTCGGATTTCAGAACTAACTAAAACTCTTGAGAATATTCTTCCTAACATAAGTCTTGAAGCTAACTCAATCCCAAGTCAACTTTCATCCATGGATTCAAAACAAAGCGTAATCTTGAATTTCTCCAATGGTATAACAATGGTATTTAATATTTGTCACTCATGGAGAAACTATTTTTAGTCATATGTTTCACGATTTCATACTATATTATTCATGACTCATGAGGCAATATAGTGCCAAAATCCCCATCGAACTCGCAAGTTTCGTATTAAAGGGAAAATAATAAATAAAATAATAAGATCTCAGTTTTTCAACAAAAAGTAAAAATAAAATAGAGTTCCCGGCCAGGAAATCTCATCCTGCAAAATTTTAATACAACTCTGCCTCAGATCTCTTTTATGTATTTAGTATTTCAAAGGTTAGTGTTTGCAAACTCTTAACAGAAAAACGTAAGCGTGTCCCGATTTTTAGCCGGAAAAAGTCTAAAAATATGTTGTTTTCCGGCTAAAAGCTGAGAAACACTTTTTTCTTAAAGTTTGCAAACACTCCCCAAAGGCTTTTTAGTATCTGCCCAAAAAAAAAAAAAAAAAACTCATGGAGGGCAACTTATAAATCATCTCCCCCAGTATTTTTCGTCGTCTTCATCTTCATGTCCTCCAGAATTGCCTTCCAAATGGAACGGGCCTTCGGGCGAGCCCGACTGTGAAGGCTTGCAATGTTCTTCAGGCATCCACAGACCAACAGGTTGAGAAGAGGAGTTTGCCAAGAGTCTTCGACTATGAAGACGGTATTTCTGAAATTTAATCAACATTCAAAGAACAAAATAGATCATGAGTATTACTTTCCAAGAGATTGAATTCATGTGTATATATCTATAATACAAGAGTAAAAAACACACTTGCAAATGACTCTTCACTTCATCATTGGTGAGGCCATCAACTTGCATAAGCTCTCTAATCTGCTTCGGAGTAGCGGCTGTCGAGTAGAGAACAAAATCATATTTAGTGGCAAAACAAAGGGAACCCATCAAAGCACGTAACATAAAAACTAATATCCAAATTCCAAACAAGTTCATTCCAATTCCCAACATTCTTGAATTATCTTGTGAACTGATCCATGGATATCAATCAATCAATCACATCAACAAACCCAACCAACTGATGTTATCAAAACCTACAAACACGTTGCTAATCTTTAATCATAAACTCGCCCAATCTAGATTCCAAACGAGGAGTTAATGAAAATTTCAAGGGATTTTTTATTTATGTTTCGAACCTTGAGCGCCTCCAAGCTGCTGCAGGGCATTGATAAACTGGCGATGTAAATCAGGCGACCAGCAGCGTCTTTGCTTCCTACTAGATTGATGCTGCTGTACACTCCTTAAATTCGATGGGACATTAGCATCTGGAGGGGAACCTGATCGGCTGGGACACGATTTCAGACTGAAACCAATGTGATTAACCCCTTCACTTGAGCTTTTCATTTCGGGTGTGCATAAAGAAAGAGCAGGAACTTGCCTGTCCTCTTTCCCTATAGACATCACCGGAAAATTAGTACGCTCCGTGAAGGGCACCAAAGGCCTCATCACCACTTTCCCATTTTTACCACTTTGAAACAAATTATCCATCACAGGCCGATTCTTTTCCTCTTCCGTTCTCTGTTCACAAACGGAAGGAAAAAAGAGAAGTCCATCAGCACGCACGCAATCAACAAACAACAGAAACACATCGGGAAAAAGGGTCTCGATCCATACCTTTTTGTTGGAATCGAGCTTTAAGGTGAGTTTGTCACTGTTGAGATCAGGAGAAGGATGACTGGTGGAGTTCCACAACTGCACAGAGCTCATCCAATTCATCTTATCTCTGGAGCTAGTTTCACTATCCGGACGGCTCTCGACTCTATCAACTTCTTCATCTTTACAGATCTTTTTAAGCGGTATGAATTCTTCCAACACAGGCTCAGCATTTGATTTCCTACACAGAGCTAATTCTTCTTCTATCGCTACAATCGCTGCACATAGGAGAAAATCGCAGCCAAAATATCAGCAATTGAAGTTCAAATCACAACAAAACACATCCATAGCTTCATCTATGACGCGATGAACAACACCATACATCCTACCCAAAACAAATCCGCATAAACCGAAAAAAAAAAGAGAGACAAAATCGTACGGATAGAACACGAAATCTACATCAAAACGAGGATCTAACCATCTCGAAGGAGAAGCATGCACAGAGGAAGCTCGCGCTTGAAGGCGTCGATCTTCTTCATCTCATCCCGAAGCCTAACGGCGTAATCCTCGAGCCTCGGACTCTTCTCGGAAACGCCGTGGCTCCTCGATACTTGGGGCAAAATCTCTCCGATTGTGCGGCGGACGCACGATTTCGCCGAGAATCTGAAATCCGAACTGAGCTCCGGCAGAATCAACGATCTCATTTTCTCCTCCAGCGGATCTTAGACTTTCTCCTCTCCTTCAGCTTGTCCCTAATCCTGGTTTTCGCCTGATCGGAAAACTACGCCGGCGTTAATCAGTGTGGATTTTGGAGAAGATTCTGTTGAGCGGACGAGTGTAGAGAGAGAAAATGTAAAGGGGAAAAAGATTCTGTTGAACAACGCCGAGTTTTGACAGAGGCTGAGGGCCAATATATCTGCTAAGTGTGCGGAAAGTCTTCTTCAAGGCGTCGCATTTTTTTAATATATATTCTGTTGAAAGAATCATTTTTGGGAGAATAATTTAAGAATTTTTTTGGAATTTATTTCTTACGGACGGTAGAAATTAGACTCCAGTGGAATTTTCTCATTTTATATTCGTTTTCCTTTTTTCTTTTTTTTTTTAGTTGAGTGGATAAAACGCGGTTAATTTGAGACGTGAAGCATTCTTTGAATGACGTATGGAAATTATAACTAGGAGTGAAAAAATAAATTAAAAAACACTTATAGGTCAATTTTGAAAGGGTGTTGCTAAATACCGCACCCTTTTTGCTAAATACCGCACCTCAATTTACATTTTTGCCCTTTTTATATAAAAAAAAAAAAAAA